AGCCACTGGCCGGTAGAGAATGGGGTCAGAAGCGAAGCTCTCGGTGGCTGTACGCACATTCTTGATGGTCTCCGCATGGTACTCATGAGTTCCGTGAGAGAAGTTCAGCCGGGCCACATTCATCCCAGACTTAATCATCTCCTTCAGGGTCTCCACCGAGCGGGAGGCCGGGCCGATAGTACAGATGATGCCGGTGTTGTGGGCCGTGATGGGGGCCGAGTTGATGTCCAGGCGGCACATGTGCTCCAGGAAGGTGTCAGCCATGGCTGCGCGCAGCTGCTGGGTCTGGATGAAAGCCGTCCCGGCTTCGCTGTGGGACTTCGACATGGCTTGTGAGATGCTCGTGCACTCGGCTGTGGCTGCAAGCAGGGACAAGCAGACAGCTCTGCAACGTCGGGATACATCGCCGCTGTGCGGGGGCCCGGGGCTCGGTCTCCAAATACGTGTTTTTAGGGCTTCCTCGTGCTCATTCTGCTGTATGCTTTAAAGCAACTGGAAGAAGTACGAGCTCCACTGTGGTTCAAAGGGAATTTAGCGTATTAGGAACCCAGGAGTGACTATGTCTATGTTTAAAGTATATCATTTAAAAAATTTGTTTAGAGGAAAAAAATGAAGAATTACGGGAAGTGGGCAAATCTCTCATATGAACTTATGGTTGTAGAAATTCAAAGCAGGCATACTTGTTTATCCATCACAGATAAAGAGGGACAAGTTAGAAAGGCAGTAGTCTTGTAGACCTGAAGGTCCCAGGGTGTGTGTGTATGTATGTGTGTGTGCGCACGTGTATTTTTGATGATCTTCCGTCAATTTGAAGTATGAGAAAAGTACTTATCAAAAAATTATCCTACAAGATAAAGGACCAGAACAATGTCTCAGAGGTAGAAAAACAAGAAAAAGATAAGAGCTTAACCATGGTTACAGGGCAAACACTTGCTTTTAATCTCAGAGAGAAAGGAAGTGGTAGAGTTTCAGAGTGTCGCTTGCAAAAATCTAACTGCTCTGTGCACCCCCGCAGCCATGTAGGTATCTTCTAAAGCCTCTGACAAAGGCAACAATGTCAACATCAAGTTTTTTCTTGACTCAAAAAAACAATTTGTACCCCTGTATATTTTTCAGGGGAGAAAACTTTTGGGAAATTTTTTCACTTGCGTCTATTTCCCAAGCTTGAATACCTGCTTGACATTTAGCTGGGAAGATTATAGGAATTAGATCAGTATAAGAGACTAAATGAGAGCTGAGTTTATTTAGAGAAATTATCATCTTTTATTTAGAAGCTGCATATCTTTAAATCATATCTATCTATCTATCTATCTATCTATCTATCTATCTATCTACCTCTGACAATACCTTGAATGTAATTTAAAATAATGAGATGTGCTATTGCATTAGATCCAAAAAGAATTGCTGGGTATAGAAGCATGTATCTGGGGTTTTTCAGCTTTCCATCACTGTAATGAACTACTGAGGTAATCACTTTACAAAAAGGAAAGGTCTATCTCACTTTATAGTTCTGGAGTTTCTAGTTAGTGACTAGTTGGCTTCATTGTTTCGAGTGACTGGATCATATCTTGGTGGAAGTTGTAGGAAAAACTGTTTGCCAGGAAGTGAAGAAGGGGTGGAGAACTTACCATTTCCTTTAAGAGCGTGCTTCAGTGACAAGGTCCTACCTCTTAAATGTTCTACCTCTTCCCAATGGTACCAAGCAGGGGACCCACACTTTAACATGTTAGTTTTTAGAAGATATCGCAGATCTAACTGTAGCAGTGTCTTAGTTCAGTTCTTTTAATTCCTTACTTTTTGGACCTAAGATATCTTAAACCATTACCTTATCTACCTAAAACCTTCTCCATAAATTATAATATAGCATCTTCAACATTGCAAAACCATGACCAAAAGGTAAAAATTAGAATAATACGAGATTCACATTAACATAAAAAGAAATTTTCAGGGAATAACAAGTGTCCCACAGTATATTAGACTGCCTCACAGAGAACTACATTTTCAGTCATGAAAAGACTTCACACTAAGTCAAAATGATCAGGCTGAGTCTAGCATCAAGCTGGGACTAAGCCGTCATCTGCTGGAGATGTTGCAGAAGGAATTCCAGAACTTGATTGGGAACTGGATTACAAAGATCTCATCCTTATACAAGAGCACAACTACTTTGAATCAAATAAATCTGACCCTGAATATTGGTGGCATCCATCTGATTTTAGACAATCATTTGGTTCATTAGATACTTATGAATGAGGCACTAATTTAAAAGTGAGAGAATAAAGTATATGGCCATTGTAAACTAGAGCCCCATCATGCTAGATTGCCAGGCCCTGAGGTGGGTCAGTACTTTTGAAAGCTAAAGTATAACCCAGCTTATAGATTTAGATTCCTTTCACAAATGTTCAGGTGGCCTTATCAACCAGCGAGTTCTATATTCCTTGTTTCACCTATTCATTATGTAGTTATACCCAATGACAGGGTGCTTGCAGGGCAGATTGATTTCCATTGCAGGCCTGAGTAAAATCATATATGTCATTTCACCAACTGGCTAGGTCTGCTTGCAGTCCTGTGCTCTGTGTATACTTTAAACATTGGGATGTGATTTATGTCTTAGAAGAAAAAATATTTTTGTACAAAACACAATTCTTTTCTTTTTAACTCATCAGGAGCTATTTTAAAGCTGAGTATAAGTTTATTTTTTATCAAAACCAGAGAGGCTGCAGGTAAAATCTCATCGTCTTTCTCAAGGCCTCGGTGATGCACATGTTGGGGTAACAGCTGGCCTGGGGATATTCACAGCCAGCTGTAGTCCTTGTACCTGGCTGGAGATCACAGCCTGAGGTTATAAGCAGTGCAGCTGAAAAGATTCTTGATAAATTCTTCTAAGCCACAGATGCGAGCAAATAATCAACCCAGGTATATGACATATAAGTCTCCATGAAATAACTCAGTTATTCAAAAAGGATAAGCGGCCTACACAGGAAAGCAAATTTATTTTGAACAGTTTCCTAACTATTTGGTCTTTTTTTTTTTTTTTTGTGGCCAGCTCAGCCCACCCTGGGGATGGAGCTGGCGTGGCATGTGGTGTCAAGGATCGAATTGTGGTTCCTGCATGCTTGCCTAAGTTTGCCTAAGCAGGCACTTTCCACTGCTGAGCTATCTTGCTGGCCCCTACTTGGTCCATTTTTGTATCATCTTAATTAAAAAATAGACTTAAGAAAAAAATAGAAGCATTTGAGTAATAGGAAAACATGGGGTTAAACATTGGTATATGAATATGTATAAATGTGCTGTGGTTTAAATTCTTAAAAGGTACAGTGAAGGCACTCATTCCAAATAAAACGAGGACCTGGTTTTGGAATAGAGTGTGGAAAAGCTTGGTTTGAAAGAAAATGAAATGAGACTTGTATTAAAGGCGTATTATCTACTCCACATGAAAAGACACTGCAGAATTTCTTTTCCTTCCCTTCGCTTCCATTACTTTGCATTTCTTTCTGGAGTAGTCTCTTTATTCTTTTTTAAATTATTTGCTCTTAAAATTTCTCAAAGATGTATGAGGCCTTGTCAGTGCTATGAAGTTGAGAGGAAAGCACCCTTCAGATAACTGTTGCTATATTCATGGGGGTGGGCACAGCGCTTTCTCAAACAACTTAAAAATAAACTCAAATCCTGGCAAGGCAGCGTGTGCCTGCGGTCCTGGTACTCGTGAGGGTGTGGCAGGACAATGGAAAATTCATGAGCGGCACGCGCTACCTACGAGTTCAGCACTGGCCTGGGCTGCATAATGAGCTCAAAGAAACAAGGAGGGAGAGAAAACCTCCAACGGCCCTAACTAATTAAGTACAGAACAGTGTGGATGAAGAGCATGAGAAGTGGCAGAGATTCCATGCTGACAGAAGGTGGGGAAGGCCTCACAGGAGAAATGGCAGTGGGAACAAAGCAGGGCGGTCTCCTGGCAAGGGGCCAGTGGAGACGGAACCCACAGGACCTGGGCACGAGATGAGTAATGTGGACAAGAGTCAGGCGGAGACAAAGACTCCTACAGCCTTCGGGTTATGTTGCTTGGTTTGTCAAAGTTAGGAAAACTTGAATGAATGTACTACCCCTCTTTTTTTGGCTGAACCAGGGATTGAACTTAGACCCTTGTGCTTGCCAGGGAAGCACTTATTCCACTAAGCCATCTCCCTGGTCCCTGTACTACCCCTCTCAAGGCAGCCTCTCTTACTCCAGTCAGGGTGTGAAATGGGATATGGCTATCGATTCCCCAAAGGAAATCCACTCTTTACTTAAGTGTTGAGCGGCTGCTATTTTACTTGCAATTCTCTGTATGCATGTGTGTGTGTGACAGCTGGGGTGACAGGGGCAGAAGGTGATTATGGGGCAAGGTGTTTTGCTTCTTTCTCTTTCTAGTTCCCACTACCACCACCACCACCACCACCGCCACTGCCACCACTGCCACCACCACCACCACCGCCACCACCACCACCTGACTTTCCATTGTCTTACAGAAACGTGTCTCACCCATCTCCTCACCTATGACTTGCTACTGTCTTCATATCTGAAGTACTGAAGATGACTTCATAACATATTCAGCAAACAAAAGATCTTCAGCTGAAAGATCCATCCCCATCTGTAGTGTGGCAGATGAATTTTAACTACTTGGCTTTTATTTCTGTAACACACCAAAATGTTGTCAATCTTGGCACTTAAAGCACTGCTGGGTAAAGATTTTTAAATACCCTTTTGTAATCTCAACAAATAATCCCAAGCACTCAGAAATAGAGACGTCAATGCAAATGTTTCTGAAGACTGCCTGGTGGTTGGCAGCTGAGGTCTGAGAGTTTTTGTCCTGCCTGGTGTTAGTCCCATCACACTGCTGTGGAGGACCTCGCAGAGGCTACTCCATGTCTATTAATGAGGATGTGATGATGGTATAAGGAATCTGGAAAGTGATGCTTTCCTTTTATTATTGGCTGAATCCTGAAGACAAATCTACCTACTAAAGCCAGCTGTTATGGTTTGTGTCTAAGTATCCCCCCCCCACTCCCAAACTTCATACAGCCATTGGGGTGGGCTTTTCAGAGGTGGCTGAATCTTGAGTTTGTGGTGGTTTTTTGTTTTGTTTTGTTTTGTTTTTTGCGGAACTGGGGATTGAACTCAGACTCTTGCACTTGCTAGGGAAGTGCTTATTCTACTGAGCCATCTCCCCACCCCCTTGAGTTTGTGATTAATTCAAGATTCAATGCTGGGATTAAGGGGTATGAGTGGTGTACCCGCCCTGGGGTGGGTGCAGAATAAGGGACGGCGAAAGGCTTGTCCCAGCCCTTTTCCTTTGTTGCGTTTGCTGTCTTCTGCTGCTATGAACTGTTTCCCTTCTGCCGTGTCACCAGCCTTGGAGCTTGCCAACTGTGGACCAAAACCTCTGCAAA